AGTTTGCCATAAAATGGCACAAATTTTGACGACTGGAATGTAAACAAGTGAGAAGTTGTGATAGGGCGACAGTTGGAGAAGAGGGTAAAGAGTGTATAGATAGGCCAGGACAGAACCTTGATAACCGTTTCCGGCAGAACGGTTGTCAAGGTATTGACTTCAATTGTCGCTTTGACGAGTTCGTAGATTGGTGCTGAGACTGGCAAAACTCATTGATGATGCCGACTATGATGCCGGCGAATGTATCAAGTCCAATATCAGATGGTGGGAATCATGACAACTACTATCACAGACGACTTCGGATTTGGTGCATTCTACATAGTCGCCCTGACAACAAGACCAAGTTGCGACAACGAGGTCAACCCACTTCTAGCAACGATTAATGCCGACTGGAAAATAATATAAATCGCTTCACCTATAATCATAGAATGACGTGAAAATAGCATTTGAATACATATTCAAAAACTACATTCAGCAAGCTTTTTCTCATTTGAAATGGGTTAAGATGAGATAATGTTGACTTTTCAGTTCGCACCTTCCCTCATCTCCGGGCGTGTCACGATGTCTGAGACGATCAGCAGCACTTGTGTCAGACAGTCGACATCGGTCCATTTCAGGCTCATTGCTTTGGGGCCAGTTTGACAAGTCAAGCTCCTGCTGACGGCCAATGCATGAACTGTCCTGAGCAGTCGAGTCACGTTTGGTCCGAGACCCTCGACCGTTTCGCCAGCAGAAGAGCCAACAGATCTGACGATGGGCGTCAGTTCAGTCCCACCGACGGACGAAAAGATCTGGAAGGCCAGACAGTCGAAGAAGGAGGAGGCCAAATCGCCAAAGCAGAGTGTCTGATGGGCAGTGATTGGTAGACGGTTCGACAATCTTGCATGCAGACCGTCTGGTGGAGGGAAACGAAAGAAGATTGGAATCAATTGTACTTTTCTAAGATTTCCAGTCACCCAAGATCGCATGAAATAAAGACAGAATGACACTGCAATTATTCCACTATTATATGAATAGACTTTGTGTTTCCATTCAATTTCGCATAGCCTTACTTTCTAAACGGCACGATAGGCCTCAGTTTCAATCCCGCCAGAAGTGATCTTATCAGCACCCCCGGCGGGACTCGAACACACACACACACACACATATATATATATATATATAATGTTTATAAAAAACCGAGGTTTTTTAACTTTCTCCGATTGGGATTTTAAGTTAGGTTTTTTTTGTTTTGGTGGGTTTGTTACGTTTTTATGCAAACCAGCAAATTTACACATAAGCTAGTAAGTAATATTACACACCAATTTATGTGTATCCAATTATGCGTTTCTTTACTCACAAATTATATTTCTAGCAAATGACGGGTTGGTTTTTAGGGCAACTTAAATTAATTATGGTTTTATGCTAACACCATGAAATCGTCTGATCTTAAACCTAGATAGCTTATACCAAAACCGAGGTTTTGGGAATTTTTCCGATTGGGATTTTAAGTTGAACATAATTGGTGGGTTTGTTACGTTTTTATGCAAACCAGCAATGCAGTGTGTAATCTCATTACGGTACCGCCACGTCTCACTACCACATGTTCAAAAGTGGGAAAAAGGAAATTCACACGTATCACGCTTTCCGATTAGGCAAACTTGTATTTTGCCCTTTTACATCAACTATGTTACTTATTGATCGAAGATATGAAGACCAAGATGGTGTGGCCTTTTGTGTGGTCGCAGTCTCCTTTCGTT